GTTCCAGTGTTTGTCGACCGCTGATGAATCCTGATTGATCATCATGAATATAATGGGCCAAAAATTTATGGAGGTGTAAAGCCAAGATTTTAGTAAGGATCTTGAGATCACAATTAAGGAGATAGGTCGATAATTAGAAACTACAGTAGCATCTTTGTAGAGTTTGGGAATAACACTGATGAATGCTTTATTTTCATCAGGAGACACTAGTCCCCCATCCCATAAATAATTAAAATAGTGGGCCATATGTGGAATCAGGAGGTCAGGGAAAGCTTTATAATAGTTATGGGTAAGGCCCATCTGGTCCTGAGGAATTATGAGGGGCGAGGGTTTTCAGGGCATTCCGAATCTCCTCACAAGAAATAGGCTATTCCATTGAGTCTCTATGGGCCTCTTGAAGAGAAGGAAGAACAGAGCTCAGGAAGTTGTCAGAAGCAGAAGAGATATCTACCTGAGACGAGTGGTATAGATCAGTATAGAAAGAATTGAACTTTTGGAGAATCTTACTGGGATCTTGAGACAAAGTACCGTTATTTAGCCTGAGTTTAGGGAGAGCTATTTAGGAATGTTTGGGAGATAGTTTGCATGCCAATAAAGTACCTGGCCTGTCTCTCAAAGTGAAAAATTTATGGTTGGACCATCGTAACTGTCAGCGGTACTAGCGAGGCATAGGTTAAGTTCTAATCAGACTTGGTCAAGTTTAACTAATAAATCTGGATCGAGATTCTGTTTGTGTTGCGTAACCAGATCAGTGTATACTTGAGTTTTAGTTAAAATAAATCATTACGAGCTTTAAGTCGTGAGGAGAGTTGAATAATAAACCCCCTGACCGAGGCCTTATGGGCTGCCCAATTAATAGCTGGGTTCGTATCATCTGCTTTGATTTCAAAGTACATTTGTAAATGTGAAGAAATATCCTGACAATATGAAGCATTGCCCAAAATAAACTAGTTAAGGCGTCCGTGAGGAGCAGTCCTTCCGTGAGTCCAGGACGAAAGTGTTAAAAAAAAAAAATCGGATCGTGATCAGACCAAGGTGTGAAAAGGATTTTAGCTGTAAGCAGTCTGGGAAGTGAGTGTGTATGAAGGAATATATGATCAATACAAGAATAGCAATTGTGAGCCCTAGAGAAATGAGAATAATCTCGAAGTTGGGTTGGTTCTCTCCAGGCATCGATAAGATCATAACCATATAGTAGCTGGGCAAACTTAAGACTCTGTCTGGAAGGCGGCTGCAGCATGGCGGCTCGGGAACTATCTAATATCTGATCTAAGGTTAAATTAGAATCACCAACCAAAATAACATCGCCCTCAAACTCTGAGGCCAAGGTGCTCAATAAAGAATGAAGAAATTCCACCTGATTAGTATTTGGAGCATAATAAATCAAAAAAAGTGAGTAGGTTTCCACTCAAGTGGCCTTTCACCAGAAGTTGGCGTCCCTCCCGATCCCGGATAATTTTAGGTTCAGTAAACGACAAACAACGGGATAAGCAAACTGCAACCCCTTATTTCTCCTTTGTGGCATTTGCAAAATAACAAAGGGGATAGTCTTTATGAACATATCGTGGGGTAAATGAAGGGGGAAAATGTGTCTCCTATAGGGCTACAATATCCGCCCCAAAAGAGCGGTATGAATTAAAGGCCTTAATATGTTTGGAGGCAGAATTGAACCCCTGAACATTTTGAGATGATAGTAGGAGGACTCCGCTGTTAGACCGCTGAGAAGACATAGTCAACAACTGATTTACTATATACGATGGGAGCCATCAGCTCTCTGAGCACCAGAATTGTCCAGAGAAACCAGGAATATGGACCGCTGACCCTCAAGGAAAAAAGAAAAAAGCAAGAGTCCCAAAAAAAAAAAAAAGTAAAAAGAGACTGGATACAAAAATCCTTGTGTCGAGTAACAAATGGTATTACACATAATACAGACACTTCAAACAATATACCAATAATATCAGGACTAAAGACCTGTAAAGGAATGGATCTACCCAGAGAAACAACTCAGGGGAGAGTCTTCCAAATCAAGGAGGGCCCATAGACACTCCCCGACACCAACAAAAACCCATTATTAACATAGTGCAATAATAAAGTAACCGAGCCCCATAATACTACAGTCAGCAGACGAACATATTGCAACCTCACAGATAACAAGGGGGGGAGGGGGGGAACTTGTAGTACCTCACCCACCCCACCACGCCCTCCTTCCCCCTCTCCTCCCAAGACACCTGAACAATGGAGACTAATGTTACCAAGGAACCACTGAGAAGCCATCATATATCACATTACAAAACCCACAAATTGAAATATAAACCTCAAGAAGTTTTTTTTGGTGATTTAGTCTTCCTGGAATTTGGAGCAGTCCACAATGGTGAAAGCATCGGAGGCCGAGAGGCAGATCTTGAAGGAGAATGAGATGAAGGGCTACGGGAAATGATGCCCAGTTGAAGCAGAAGTCCTTCGCCTTCATGAAATGTAGAGAACCCGTAAGGCTTTCCATTAAAGGTAAATTGTAGGCGAAAAGGGTAGGCCCACCGATAACGGTTATCCCTCTGCGGGAAAGTTGTGGCTTGAGAGACCGCCGTTTCTGGATAGTGGTCAGAGAGACATCTGCAAATACTTGTATTTTATGTCCCGCCAATTCCAACTCCGGAGTTTCCCTACTATATTTTGTGACCACTTCCTTGACCTGGAAAAAAATATGGTTTAACAATATCTCTAGGAGCCCCCCCCCCCCCCCCCCCCCCCCCCCTAGGGGGATCAATGCTCTAAATGATCAATTTCTGTATGAAGGTCATTGATATCGGGCATCGCGGATCGCATAAGGGATTGGGCGCAGCTGGTGAGCTTTTTCACTGACTCGGATACAGAAATTATAGCGCCTAGCCCGGTTTTCCAGATCATCAATTTTAGAATAGGCTTCCTCCAACCGATCATGTAAGTAGGTAATCGTATTAGAATTTTGGGATACATTGTGGACTATTGCATTAACTTTAGATTCAATACTGTCCAGGCGCTGGCCTAATTCCTGAAAATCTTGCTTGAGATCAGCCGCCAATTTAGTAGTAGCGCTATCCAATTCGCATTGCAGTAAATCAGCAAAACGAGCGATTAGGGTCGCATCTCCTGAACATTGTGGTGGAGCCGGAGGGAGTGCTGGCGAGTGATCAGGGCTATCAGAGTCAGGTTCCAAGCTGCTGATCTGGCTGAAGAAGATAGCTGCCATCTCATTATCCAATGGAGAGGAAGCGGGAGAATTGTGGCCTAGTGAGCAGGCCGAAGCCTGGGACTCAAATAGTGCAGGGCTGGAAGGTGATTTGGGGGGGGGGCGTGGAGGGTCACTCACCCCAGCAGATGATGCCACCGCTGTCCGGTCCCAGCTAGTAGGAGTGGTAGGGCCTGTTTTTCGCCCTCTGAGGGATAGGTACTGGCTGTGCAGAGGCAGAGGAGGTAGCCGAGGCTGTGGAAGTAGAGCCGGTCACCATTTTGGATCCCCTGCTCACCACAGGGATCGGGTGCTGGAAGCCGCCATAGCTCCGTCCCGGTATATTTAGGACGCCCTAGGGATCCAGTCTAGGACCGGGGCGATTCCCAGGAGCAGTGAGGCTTTGTGCCCATGTACGGGCTTATGTAGTGCCGGGGGTGTGCGGAGCTAAGGCCGGGATATGTGTGCCGGCCGCCCCGCGCACTCCAGAAATATATAATTTAAATGACAACTTCGTGTTAAATAAAGTTTGTCATTTTCCAAAAACTTGTGGAAAAAAATAAATCTTCCGTGGGACTCAATATGCCTCTCAGCAGATGGCTTAGTGTTTCTACTTTCTAAAAAAAAAGGGGTCATTTGGGGGTGTTTTGTACTGTCTTGGTATTTAAGCACCTCAAGAAATGTGATGGGCAGTCAGTAAAAGCTGTGTAAATTCCATTATCTATACCATAGTTTGTAGATGCTAGAAGTCACACAAAGCAATAAATACACACTTATTGGGATTTTTTTTTTTTAACTAAAAACATGTAGCAGAATACATCTTGGCCTAAATGTCTGACAAAATTATTATTTTTTGGATATTTTTATGACAGAAATGAGAATTTTGTGGGCTTTTTTTTTTTTTTTTGTTTTAGCGCCAAAAATAAAAAGCACACAGGTGATCGAATACCACCAAAAGAAAGCTCTATTTGTGTGAAAAAAAGACATAAATTTCATTTATGTACCGTATTGCATGACCGCACAATTCTCAGTTAAACTAGTGCTGCGCTGTATAGCAAAAAAAAAATAAATGGTGTAAATCGCAGTATCTATACCGTAGTTTGCAGACACTATAACTTTCACAATATCAATATACACTTAATGGAATTTTTTTTTTTTTTTTACCAAAAACATGTAGCAGAATACATTTTGGCCTAAATTTATGACTAACTTTGAGTTTATTGTATATTTTTTTTTTTTTTTATAGCCGAAAGTAAAAAAATTGTTTTTCTTCAAAATTTTCGGTCTTTTTTTTTTGTTTATAATGTGAAAAATATAAAGCGCACAGGTGATAAAATACCACCGAAAGAAAGCTCTATTCGTGTGAAAAAGGACGGAATTTTCGTTTGGATACAGCATTGCATTACCGTGCAATTATCAGTTGAAATAGTGCAGCGTCGAATAGCAAAAAGAGGCCTAGTCAGGAAGGGGGGTAAATCCTCAGGATGGCAAGTGGTTAATGAGAAAAAAAATTAACTTCAACAACTGCAGTATTAGGCTACAACATGACAAAATTGAAAAAAAGTGTAGGGGGGCTATGTATATTCAAGGAGTATGGTGGGGATAAAGAGCATTACCAAATGGCTGTCCAGTCAGGACTTTTCTTTGGCAGAGTGAACCTCTGTTGCCTATCTTTGTGTTGTATGTTTTTCCTTGCCATTACTTTTTACTGATACAGCTGCTTATAAACTTCTGTTTTCCTTTGGCATTGTAATGCTGTACATAATATATTAAAGTGTTTTTGTAATACTTCTAGGAACCAGTGAAAGAAGAACCTGTCAGCAAGCCTACCCCTGCTAAAATAAATAGGACAAAGCAAAGGAAAAGTTTTACCAGAAGCAGAACTCACATTGGGCAGCAACGGCGGCGACACAGAACTATAAGCACCTGTTCAGATATCCAGCCTTCTTCCCCAGATGTGGAGGTCACACCGCAGCAAGTAGAAACAGAGACTAATACACTTGTGGAAGAGCCTGTTAGTGAGAATTCTTCTACTATAGCAGTGACTGTAACTGCAGATACTGATGAAGTTACAGATATTGATTCAGTTGCACAAATCAAATGCCCATCTAAATACCCCAAAAAAAAAAAAGGTATGTTTTTCTGGTAAGCCAAGCATCTCAAATTGTAGCAAGCTTAAATGTATTTTTTCCTGTTCTTTGTTACAAGCTTATTTCAGTTATCCTAACTCCTAAGATGGCAAGAAGGGACACTGCCTTGGAAATGTATGGGTATTGTTTAAAGTGGTATTTAACCCAAAAATGTAATATATTGCAACTCAGTAATAGGTGTGATGGCTGTATTAATTTGGCTGTATTAATTTTCCTTTTCTAGTCTTTTTCCCTCATTTTCACCTGTTGATCTAGCCAGTAACAAACCACCTGCATCAAGAGTGCTTACACTCTGAATGAAGGAGCACAAGGGCTCCTTTGGACAACAGAATTGTTGGTCTGGGGGGAGGGGAATGTTAGATGCACTAGCAGATTTAGATACACTAAACAAATTGAAGCTGAACGCCAGCTTAAACTTTTTAAGCAGTTACAGCAGACAGTTATTTTATTTTTGGGTTATAATAAAAGCTGATTATTGTAAGTGCCGATAGTAAATAGATCGTCTCAACCATGTAACTGCTACATCTGAACAACAGCTTGTTTTGTTAAAAAAAAAAAAAAAGTCTTACTGGCCAGATCACCAGGTGAAAATAAAGGAAAGAATGCAGCCATTACATTTAAGAATTGGAAAGCTGCAATAATGTTTGCTTTTGAGTTTAGTACTGCTTTGTTTTAACTTTGGCTTGATTATAATAATACTTGAGAAAAAGGGACATGTTTTGAGTAAAACCTTTTTATAATCCAACTAAAACCAACCTCCTACCCCCTAATCCTATTCCCCCTTCCAACGCTCCCTAGCCTCCATTGCATTGAACTACTAATGCACTGCTATGTCCACTCTGTAATATAGGCTCAATCAGCCTTGACTATAGCAGCATTGTGAATGTCGATCTTTGGATCCTTAGGACCTTGATATTGGTACCATTTGAATTTAAATCCCTTATGAAGTGGCCCAAAATTATGGGAAGTCTGTGAGGATTCGCCAGTTTGCATTAGTCTTCCAACAAAACGAGAAAATATTGCAGTTATTGTAACACCTTTTGTTCATACATTACAGGACACATTACATAGATTCTGGGTTTTAGGCTCGTACCTTCAGGTGATTGGACACTAGTAAGCTTTTAAGAACATACCCCTTGGGTGCTTTCCCTATTACCCTACTCTAGAAACTCAATGTATTTATTTTTTTTGTTTGCATTTTTGCTAGTGTCCTATGGTGATTGCCCTCCTCTCCCCTATGGAGAAATCACTTCGCTTAACTTGTTTAATTTTTTTAATCTTTCAATTCGCTTCTTCACTCTCCTAGTACAGCCAAAGGAGCCGTGTATTCAGATTTGCCCAAATTCTGTAAAACTTTGCCCGCGCCACTGGAATCACCTGTAATGTTGCTTCAGGCGCTCACCTTGGCACTTGATGCAAAGCTTGTAGTCCGTGACTGGGTGCTATACAGGTCCAGGACTCTGGTCCATTTCTATGAAACCCAGTTCCTTTGGGGGGGTATGCGCATTGTGACAGGCAAAGCCTTAACTCTATTGGTCATTCTCAACAAGGGTTCTGTGGAACCGAAGCATTCCTTCAGAGGTTGGTAGTGATTCCTTGAACATGCTTTTCATTCAGTGGTGGCCAGCGGAATCACATTGATGAAGTTTTAATCTCTCTGTAAGGGTGTCATTCTGACCACCAATGCAAGCATTTTCCCACTGACCACTGATGAATTGCAGGGGTTTCTCAAGACCTACAATTTATTACAAGAGTTCCTCTTGGTTAAAAAGGTTGGGAGAGGCTGCTCAATGTGGTCCAGCATCGTAGATAGGCAAGACTGTATCACACTCTTTCTGACTGCTAATGTAAAAACAACGGCTGTGTTTGAAAAATTAAATGCAAAGTCAATACATTCAAAGTAGACAAATTCAGCCACTTGGAGCTTAGCTTTATGTAGATGACTAGGTGTTGCATCACACCATTGGTCATACACACTTTACTGCCACTTCCACCTAAAGCCTTTAAAAGTGCCTTCCTCCAACTTTATCACATTGCATCAGGTCGGTCTACACCTGGGTTGCTGCATACTTTTTCTGAACACACTTATATCAAACTGCAGCTAACTGGATTAGGAGAACCGACAAAATCCTGTACTCCAGGACCACACCTTAACTAATCAAGTACAGCAGTTACATTTTTCTCTGCTCTTTTGTGTGGATGCCCTTGAACATATCATGATACAAATTTCCAGAATGCCCCTAATCATTCATGTGCAGAATTGTGTCGCTCAAAGCCTGGATAGCTGAAGCTGCCTGTAAAAAAAAAAATAACTAAATAAAGAGGTGTACTCTGCAAGGCAGACATATTTTTGGGGAGGCCCTTGACAAATTCATAAAAGATGTCTCAGAAGGGGAGGTTTTAATTCCACAGCAGAAGATTCTAAAACCCCCTACCTCAGGAGCCTCTACATCTTCCAAATGCAGAGCACTAAACCATTCTTTCTAGGCTTCAAGTTCAAAACCCATGTTCAGCCCTTCCTTTCAGTGCAAGACTTGGCAACTAGGTCTTCCTCAAAGCCCTTTTCCCAAGGAAGCGGTGCCCTCAGGCCTAAGACCAGAAGAACGTTTGCAGTTTGCTTCTCTCCAGGTCACAGACATCCCAGATCTGTGGGTTCAAGTAGGCCCCATTCACACTTGAGCGTTTTTCAGCTCGATGCTCAGAAACGCTCAACAAAGAAAATCCCATTTATTTCAATGGCCCCTGTCACTCAAACCGTGCATGTGCTACTTTTCAACCAGATTTGAGCATTTTTGTCCCCATAGACTTAAATGGAAACCGCCTGAACAGCAAGAAATGAGCAGGGGGTTCCCCCCACAGATGTTTTCAGCTCAAACAGCAACTCCCCTCCTCTTTTCTAGCATCACTCCACATCTTTAAAAAAAAAAAAAACACATTCCTTGCTCTTATTCGTGGCCACCCTGTATCTATGATCCCAGAGATCCCATTATAAGAGCCGGGCAAGAACCACCATAGCCTGGGAGGAACTTGCTGCTCTGGTGGAACAGCTACACACTCTGCTCTCCAGATCAAGGAGAAAGGTACAGAACCTTTGTACAGCAGCCATGTGTTTTGATTCTGGTTTTCCTGTTGCATGTGCCTAGTACACATATACACATGTTTTTATTGGCCATAGCAAAATCGCTTGAAAAAATGCCTATAATATTTGCAAATCTGCTATTTAAAAAAATGCTCAAAATTGTTAAGACAACACCTGAAAACTCCTCAACTCGGTGTGAATGTAGCCTTAGGAGTTTCAAAGGGGTACAAAATAGAGTTCAAAACTCCACCCTTCATCTTTTTTTTTTCTTCTGTCAGATCAACCAAAAACTGCCCAAGGACAGTCCCTGAAGCATCTCTTGTCCCAGAGAGTAGTTGCTCTAGTACCTCCAGAAGATAGATTCAAAGGATTGTGTTCCAATTGGGTCACTGTACCAAAGCTCATTGGGGGTATGTGTAATATTCTGGACCTAAAATCCCTCGGCAAATGCCTTCAAATTTCAAAATTTTGTTCGTAATCCACAAGATCCGTTCTTTCCTCTCTGACACAAGGAATACCTGGCATCCTGTAAAAATCCAAGATGCTTATCTGCATATTCCTATTTAGCCACCTCATCAATGGTTTCTGTGATTTAAAGAGGCAGACAGTCCCTTCCAGTTTTCGTACTACCTTTTGGCCTATCCTCTGCTTCCAGAGTATTCACAAAGGTCCTAGCTCGTCTTAGTGCCCTTTTTAGAGCTTAGGGAATCCCGTTCACAGGTTATATAGATGACCTTCTGAAGGAGTCTTCTTCCAGCTGTTTTCAGATGTCCACAGGATAATTCAGATGGTCCATGTTATCAGTTGGGTGATAAGTTTCCAAAAATCTGCTCTCCATCCTTCTTTGTTTAGAATACCTGGTTCTGGTTCTGGACACATACCAAACAAAATTTTTCCTTGCAGACAAGAAAATGCAATTTCTAAGCTCACGCTTGAGATTTCAGGACAAAGAGAAATCCTGCAAGTGCATTATGTCAGCCACCACCGCCTAGATCAAGGGGAATGGCCCCCTAAACCCAGGCATCTTCAACCTGATATGTCAGGAATGAGGGACCCTAGATGTGGACAGGCTAGTCTATTTCCTCCACTACAACTTCTACCCGTTCTTTTCCACGTAATATGGCAAGAAAAGGCGGTGATGCTCATTTGTACCAAACCGCCCTAGAAGAATCTGGTACACAGACATACTCTTGACTAATAGGAGACAACCCTTGGCCTCTTCCCAACAGTCCTTACGTCTTGGGACCCTCTGTTCCACCCTGCTTCCTAGTTTCTGGTTTAACATCATGGCTGTTGAAGCCCAGGTGTCAAGAGACAGAGGGGTCTCTGAGTCTGTTATTACTACTTTTGCTAAAAGCAAGAAAAGCCACTTCCAGACAGATCTACTATTGTATTTGTAAATCTTTCTTTACATGGTGTGATTACAGCCACTTCTGTCTTTGAGTTTACTCAGTGCCTCAAATTCTGGCCTTACAATCAGGTATGGACCAGAACTTTTGGCATTAGGCACTTTTAAATTACAGGTTTTCCATTTTAACGCATGGCTTCACTCTCCTATGTCAAAACTTTATTTAACCGCCTCCCGCCCCCCATATAGTAATATGACGGACGCAAGGTGGTTCTCTCGTTATGGCAGGATGTCATATGACGTTCTCCCTTTCTAACCGCACATGCGCGGCTCCCAGAGCGCGTGGTGTTCGGCAGCGCGCTGTGTCCCTTGGACACAGCGGATCACCGATCCATGGAAAGAGCCAAAGTCGTCGGCTCGGTCATGTGATCAGCTCCATCCAATCACCGCTGATCACATGTAAACAGGGAAATGCCGGTTATCGGCATTTCTCTCCCCACGAGCTGTCACGCTGACAGCTCGTGAGGAGAGAAGAGTCGGTAATCGGCATTCCTT